CACACACACCCTTTGGAGGGCCATATCTCAAGCCGCCATATCTCAAGCCCCCATCTCAAATCCTGTATCCGCCGCAGGTTAGGGATTTATTATGCCTTCTCCCTCTACTGAGTAGCCACTGGAAAGAAACCTTTTATAATAAAACAACACTACATTCAAGTTTTCCAAATTTGTGAACACTTTAATATCCCAGTTACAATGCACTTGATCTAACTTCCATGACAGAACTCATCCTCATAAAGTAGCAAGAGGGTTTCTCAACAGGAGTGAAATGTAAAATTTATCCACAGCTGCATCATTGTCTCTTGAACATCTCTAAGATCAGGGTTCACTTGAAAGCTCAATACAAATGCGTGCGACAGCTATTTAAAAAGTGTTGTTACTGTGACCGTCTGTAAAGTTAAAGCTATCTACCACCTACCAATAATATATATTAATTCATAAACAAAAGAGCGGTTTTCAATGGAGTGTTGAAAATGATTCACGTTGGTTTGGGATTTGTATTGTAAGCAATTGACAATGTGTCATCCAATCAAAAGTAAAATCAACACCAATCATGACTCATTTGCACACATTTTGCAGCACTTCCCATCAGCTAAGTAAATTTGCTTGGTGTTTTGATTGGTTCATTGGATTGTCTGACTGTCTCTTGTCTAGAATGATGGCTTTGATGTTGGCTTAACAACACTCATTTGAAAACTGCTCTAAATATAACTACTGTAGAATTGTGTTGTTCCAGAAAATAACCATCCCCTTCCCAAGGAAGGTTTTTTAGTTTGAATCCCCGCCACTGGAAAATTTCAGTTTAGCTTCATAGTTTCCTTTAAAAAGTTTGGCTTTTGAATCCCCCTTCCCCATGTATTTTCTGTTCACCTTCCTTGGGGTGGATATGGATATTCTCTGGAACTGCACATTACAATAAGATATTAATCCCCTTTGATGCTAATCTTTTTTAAATTCGTTTTGATATTCTAAAGTTCTGTATGCTCAGTAGCATCATCGTCATCTTCTTCCTCTGTTTCTGGCCCTTCAGGCCCATCTTCAAACCCATCTTCCTCCCTGTCCTCCTCCTCATTCCATGGTTCATCAGGTTCCTCTGGTTCTTCCTCAAATGGATCCTCTGGAACTTCACTCCTGGCTTCTGCTGATTTCAACAAGCCATGTGTTTCCAGAAGCTGGGATATTTCCTCTCTTTTCTTCTCTGCAACATCCTCTTCCTGTGTGAGGAGAAAAACAAGACAAAAGATGAAGATCATTGAACCAAGAACAGGTTACAAAGACTTCTGAGGAAATGCATAATATGAGTCACGGAACATTCCTCCTGTTTGGAGCCCATTAAAAGTTGCAGGTACAGAATGAAACTTTTCCAATATTGTACAGTGGAAGTCTGCTCTGCAGATACCCAATTAACACAGAAACCTTCTCATTATGGTCAGTTTTGTTTGTCCTGACAAAAAAGCTTGTAATAGGTTAATGCGGACAACAGACACTTTTCTGTAACCCAAGCGACATACTACTCACACACAGAGTATATGTGTCTGTAAAGCTTGCTTTAAAGACACTGGCTTTAAATGCACTGTAGACGTGATTTTATCTGACTTATTAAAAAGCATAATATGCTTTATTTACCTTGACTTCATTACTATTGTAACATCTAGATACAATCTTGGCAGCTTGCCCTCCCCCCTAGAAATATATTTCTCACCAACTGCTGTAGAAAACTGACCTGGTCCTGTACCCAAGTTTAACAATGTTGATGACAAAATCGGAGTACAAAATGAGATGAAGATGAGGCACAACGTAAAGTCATGATAAATACTTTTGTGATTACTCACCAGCACCACTTTGTTGTCAGCATTTAAGAACACCATGGTTGGGTCTTTTCCTGGAATGTACCTGATTTTTACATCATGGCTAGTAAGAATGGTTAAGAATCATATTGAATTGATGTTCTGGACTAAGATAACAATATTACATCTTTAAACAGTCAAAAATAAATCTAGTAAAATTGACCAGAAAAAAACTTGTAGTAACACCATAAGTCTGGGGGTGTCCAGTGTTTCTCCCTGCAAGCAAGCAAACATCAAGTCTTGTAATGCATGTCTAAAATTGTCTCACATCTATGTTTGGATGCATATTTAACAACTATTCCACAAGCGCGCGTTGGATACAAGATGGTAGATAGCCAATGATTACAGAAAACTAGACTGAAGTAAAAATAAAAATGCCCCAAAAATTGTTGTTGTAATTACCAGTAGTGCAGGAAACCAATAAAATACTTAACTACTAAAAAAAAAAATGCCCCAAAAATTCACACGTATGCTTACTGTATTTGTAGAGCATAGTATAATGGCCCATAACCCATGATGGTTAAGCCAATGAAAACTCTTGAATTTGATTGTCCAATGATCCAGTTTTTAATAATGTGTTATATGGAAACATGGAAAATTATCAGACTAAAAAAAGGTAACTACAGTCGAACCTCCCATGAGCAACCACCCAAAATGTCAAGCCTAGGTGGTCGCCTACGGGAGGTGGTCACCTACCGGAGGTGGTGGCTTATGAGAGCTTAGACCATATTGGTTCAAAATTTTGCCTCATTAGCATATGGTAACAGCAGAGACTTACCCCATGTTTTAATGTTTTATTCACATGAAAAGTCAATTTTGAGAGAAAATCCAGTACTTCACATTGAGAAATTTCCATCTCTTGTACTACCCAGGAATGCGATAATACAAGGTCAACACTTAATTATCCAATTTACTCTCTATTACCTGTCAAGTCAAAAATATAGTGATTTGACTTGGAAACTTTTGGTTTTTTGGAAAACTGGTTGCTGAGGAAAGGTGGTTGCTTACGAGAGGTGGTCACCACTGGAGGTTCGCTGTATTACATAGTGTTGCCAATAAACAATAACGCTTGTAAAACATAGTTTAAGGTTACACTAGGAAAGTAAACCTCCATGTATTGATAATTGATAATAATAATAATTGGACATGAATGCAAGGATACTAGTGAGGCAATAGCTCTCTAATGAAAGCCTTCACCTGTTGAAATAATGTAGAGTGCATATAATTAGAAGGTAACTTTAAGGTTGGTCTGTTTCAAGAATGAACTTTTCATTTGAATCATGCAAGTTAGAAGTGACACAAGAAAAAAGATCTCTTGATAAATCCATTGCATCATGATTGCAAAGAAACAATATTTTATATAATGCTTCATTGCAATATACAAAATTAAGATAAACCACAACATGGTACAACATTTACCTCTGGTAGAGAATTTAAACGTCATCCACCACAAGTCTGAAGAAAAACAATCAAAAATCAATTAACTAGCATGGATCTTAGGTGCTAAACACTTTATTGAACTTAGTTTTGGACATACACCTCTGCCTTGGGAATGCAATAACAGATGTCTGTCATATGCAGGCTACATGTCAGGACGGTATGCAGCAGCAGCTCAAAGCCTGCCCAGGGTTTTTGGTCCTGGAACTAAGTAACTGCATTTAGTATTGCTACTTTCTACCAGAATTGTACCAGGTTTCCTAAGGAAGTTGCTAAGAGGCATTTGATTTATACTGTGGGTAGAGAAGAGGGCCTGTGTCAGAACAGAACACAGCAGCCCAGAGTACTCTAACCATATGCATTAGGCTAACTACTGGATGATTACATAGTAGTAGTCAGGGATTCAAAATGTTTTGAACTAGGTGTCTGCAGCTGGAAGAGTAGATGGCTGCTCACCTTAAGGGGTCTGGGGTAGTACCCCCCTCCCCCAGAAAATTTTGAAATCTACAATGTACATGTAGAAGCTAGGAAATGCCATGAGAAATTACCAGCTTAGGATTTTCACCTTAAAGGGGTGAGAATCAAGCGATAAAATCATCACTGACATTGGTTAAAGGTTTCAAATTTCACATTGCATTTTGTTTTGCCAGTATGCAAATTTTCTATCTTGTTAAAATTATTTTGCAAATGAAAGGTCACTCTTGCCATTTTCTTTATTTATTATTTATATTAATCAGAGAAGTTGATATCTTGACTTCATTTTACCTATATTTTCAATATTTTTTAACTGCAATGACGATTCATTTTAATCACCCCCAAGACAGCCAAGTCAAATCATTATGGCCAAAGCGGCCAGTTTACAACAGGCTGTGAATTACTCACATCAATCAATGTCTAGAAGACTCTTAGGGATTTTCAAGCCAGTATTGAGCAGCTTGGAGACCTTCTCTAGGTGGGTCAACAATAAAATTATTTAAAAAATAATTTGCAAAAAATGGATGATGAAATTGAAATCTTCTGGCACCATAGAAAGTCTCAACTTTCTCAAGTGTTTGTACCATGCTATACAAGGTGGCCATTTCTTACCTGTATTTCTTTTATTAAACAGGGCCTTCAAAATGCTAATAATATGTCATCACCCAGTTAAAATGACCTTGTTAAAAAAAACAACTTCACAACCAATCAGA